TAGCAGTGTCGTAACACTATGTGACGTCTAGCAGTGTCGTAACATTTTGTGACGTCTAGCAGTGTCGTAAGACTGTGACGTCTAGCAGTATCTTAACACTATGTGACGTCTAGCAGTGTCCTAACACTATGTGACGTCTAGCAGTGTCGTAGCACTATGTGACGTCCAGCAGTGTCGTAACACTATGTGACGTCTAGCAGTGTCGTAGCACTATGTGACGTCTAGCAGTATCGTAACACTATGTGACGTCTAGCAGTGCCGTAACACTATGTGACGTCTAGCAATGTCGTAGCGCTATGCGACCTCTAGCAGCGTCGTAACACTATGTGACGTCTAGCAGTGTCGTAACACTATGTGACGTCTAGCAGTGTCGTAGCACTATGTGACGTCTAGCAGCGTCGTAACACTATGCGACCTCTAGCAGCGTCGTAACAACATGTGGCGTCTAGCAGTGTCGTAACACTATGTGACGTCTAGCAGTGGCGTAGCACTATGTGACGTCTAGCAGTGTCGTAGCACTATGTGACGTCTAGCAGCGTCGTAACACTATGCGACCTCTAGCAGCGTCATAACACTATGTGGCGTCTAGCAGTGTCGTAACACTATGTGACGTCTATCAGTGTTTACCTGAAGTTTACCTGGAGAGAGTTCCGGGGTCAACGCCCCCGCGGCCCGGTGTGTGACCAGGGATGTTGCATCGTCTGCCGAGTTTTTTACTTTCGTTGTGAGTGATTTTCGTGTGTAAGTTCGGTACTAGTCCCTCTAGGATTTTCCAGGTGTATATAATCATGTATCTCTCCCGCCTGCGTTCCAGGGAGTACAGATTCAGGAACCTCAAGCGCTCCCAGTAATTGAGGTGTTTTATGTCCATTATGCGCGCCGTGAAGGTTCTCTGTACATTTTCTAGGTCAGCAATTTCACCTGCCTTGAAAGGTGCTGTTAGTGTGCAACAATATTCCAGCCTAGATAGAACTAGCGACCTGAAGAGTGTCATCATGGGCTTTGTATCCCTAGTTTTGAAGGTTCTCATTAACCATCCTGTCATTTTTCTAGCAGATGCGATTGATACAATGTTATGGTCCTTGAAGGTGAAATCCTCCGACATGATCACTCCCAGGTCTTTGACGTTGGTTTTTCGCTCTATTTTGTGGAAAGAATTTGCTTTGTACTCTGATGAAGTTTTAATTTCCTCGTGTTTACCATATCGGAGTAATTGAAATTTCTCATCGTTGAACTTCATATTGTTTTCTGCAGCCCACTGAAAGATTTGGTTGATGTCCGCCTGGAGCCTTGCAGTGTCTGCAATGGAAGACACTGTCATGCAGATTCGTGTGTCATCTGCGAATTATCGTTACAGTAATTTGTGAAAATAGAGAATCTCATTCAATTAAAACATCGACTTAAGACACAAATTCATACCAGAACTGAGGGACAATACATACGAGAAGGAACCAAACATAGTGAGTCTAAATGAAATAACCTGAGATAATCATATTGTAAATAATATAACATTTGAGGAGAGTTTGGAGAAACAAGATGGGAGCGAGTACTGTGCCTTGTGGCTCAGAGCTTTTCACCGTAGCCGCCTCAGTCTTTACTCTGTTGACTACTATTCTTTGTGTTCTGTTTGTGAGGAAATTATAGATCCATCTACCAACTTTTCCTGTTATTCCTTTAGCACGCATTTTGTGCACTATTACGCCATGGTCACACTTGTCGAAGGCTTTTGCAAAGTCTGTATATATTACATCTGCATTCTTTTTGTCTTCTAGTGCATCTAGGACCTTGTCGTAGTGATTCAGTAGCTGTGACAGACAGGAGCGACCTGCTCTAAACCCATGTTGCCCTGGGTTGTGTAATTGATGGGTATCTCGATGGGTGGCGATCCTGCTTCTTAGGACCCTTTCAAAGATTTTTATGATATGGGATGTTAGTGCTATCGGTCTGTAGTTATTTGCTATTGCTTTACAGCCCCCTTTGTGGAGTGGGGCTATGTCTGTTGTTTTTAGTAACTGTGGGACGACCCCCGTGTCCATGCTCCCTCTCCATAGGATGGTAAAAGCTCGTGATAGTGTCACATAGTGTCGTAACACTATGTGACATCCAGCAATGTCATAGCACTTTGTGACGTTTAGCAGTGTCGTAACGCTATGTGACATCTAGCAATGTCGTAACACTATGTAACGTCTAGCAGTGTCGTAACTGTTACATTCAAAGAGGAGCGTTAATGCGGAGGGGTCATACAGGCAAGTAATCAAATTTGATCCAAGGGAGGGGCGGGGACAGTTTCAGATCCTTGGATAACGGGTCCTTCACTTAACTGAAGGAACTCTCTCGTGATGGGAATGTTGTTATAAGACCGACGGAAGTTGTACACAGGTTAGGACAGGTAAGACTCATTACGAATACCGGGTCATAGTCATATGATGACCCGCCACTGGAACTTTTGGTCATATGACCGAGACCTTCCGCTGGCTTACTCGTTAATCCCTTTAAAAAATTAAGGCTAACTATACACGACAGAGTATCCAGAACCAGACAGAACCTGTGAGATATTTACACTTAAATAACTGTATGGCAGAAAGATGTTAGTGGCCCACACAGCCGAGATGCACTGTAATTACACTACTGAACCTCTACATTGTTTCTGGTATTTGATTCGTCAGAATTATTGTTTCCTGTCGCGGGTGTGAGTTACATGACTTGCTCTCTGGCTAGGCTTCTGCCGGAGAACTTGTGGTAGAGGTCCACACTGTTCCACTACACACCTTATGAGAACAAAAGCAAGCTATATTTCCCCTTG